GCAGTGATGAGGTCAGCTGTTAGCTGTTAGCTGTTAGCTGTTAGCTGTTAGCTGTTAGCTGTTAGCTGTCAGCTGTTAGCTGTTAGCTGTTAGCTGTTAGCTGTTAGCTGAATCTACTCATGATGAAGATGAAGATGAAGATGAGTGTTAGCTGAGTCTGATTAGCACACAGGGGGGAACAGACATGAAGCAGCTTTCACAGGTGAGCCGGTCAGCAGGTGTGTGGACCCCTGGTCGGGTTAACAACATGTTCACAACCTAATTAAGGTTGAGGGGGGGGCTGCCCTGAGCTGGTTGGGGGGGGGGGCTGCCCTGAGCTGGTTGGGGGGGGGGGGGCTGCCCTGAGCTGGTTAGGGGGGGGGCTGCCCTGAGCTGGTTGGGGGGGGGCTGCCCTGAGCTGGTTAGGGGGGGGGCTGCCCTGAGCTGGTTAGGGGGGGGGCTGCCCTGAGCTGGTTAGGGGGGGGGCTGCCCTGAGCTGGTTAGGGGGGGGGGCTGCCCTGAGCTGGTTAGGGGGGGGGCTGCCCTGAGCTGGTTAGGGGGGGGGGCTGCCCTGAGCTGGTTGGGGGGGGCTGCCCTGAGCTGGTTAGGGGGGGGGGGCTGCCCTGAGCTGGTTAGGGGGGGGGGGGGTGCCCTGAGCTGGTTAGGGGGGGGCTGCCCTGAGCTGGTTGGGGGGGCTTGCTCAAGGGCAGTGCTCAGGAAGTGGACTGGCACCTCTCCAGCTACCAGACCAACTTCCACACTTGGTCCGTACGGGGACTTGATTCCCAAACCAAGTCCCTACAGAACAAATATGTAGTTTTACTAGAACTGTGTTATTAAACCTCAGATCAGACAGATCAAGGTTTCAGTCTTTACTGGGACTTAAAAAGGTAAATCAGTTGTTCTGTGTTCAACACATTATGATATCAATTCAAGGTTAAAAAGACAGAATCTGTAAATAAATGTCTGAACAGTGTTTAAGTATCACACAGCATCAGCTGATGTGTGTGTGTGTGTGTGTGTGTGTGTGTGTGTGTGGTGTGTGTGTAAACTTGTGTTTTTGTGTGTTTTAGTCCGGACAGTTCAGCGAAGACATGATTCCAACAGTCGGGTTCAACATGAGGAAGATCACTAAAGGCAATGTCACCATCAAGGTTGGTAGTTTGATTCCCTGCTTGTTCCAGATCTGCTTATTAAAAAAAAAAACATTTTCAGTGATTTATTTCATCCCAGAGGAAGCAGCTGAATGTTTGGCAGCACTTTGAGGCCAATACAAATTTCCCCAACAAGATAATAAGCTGTTTTGAATCATATTTAAAAAAAAAAATAGGCATTCTAGTTTATGAAATCTTTTTTTAAGCTCCTATACGCTGAATTACAACTCTGAATTAAAACCCCCCCTGCCCTCATTGGGTCTTCAAATGCTTCGTATTCCTTAAATCATTAAAACCTCGTGAAAAGTTAATTAGGTCTACATTGATTTTATGCACTTACAAAGGTTTTTAAGATTCTCTGTCTGCCCTGGGGACAGTACATATCCTCCTTGGCCCCTCTTCCATGTGGAGTCCCCCAAGGCGCCATACTGGGTCCTTTCCTATTCTCTCCGTATAAGCTTCCCCAGGGGTCCATTCTTACAAAATACGGAGCGTCTTTTCATTTCAGTGCCGATGACAGGCTGCTTAACGTGCCCTTGAAAATGAAATCCACTAACCCCTCGGGCCCACTGGTAGATTGAAAGATGTTACAGCCTGGATGGCGTTGAATTTTCTCAAGCTCAATGAGAGCAAGACAGAGATCATTCTTTTTGGGCCCAGTGGAGGTGGTAAAGATGGAGGTATGGACCTCTCCCCCCTCAAATCCTTCCTCATACCGTCCGTAAAAAAATCTGGAGGTCATAATGGACAAATAGCTTAAAATGGACGAGCAGATAAACTCGGTCCTGAGATCTAACTTTTATCAACTCTGTCTTACATCAAAGATTAAGTTCTTTTGATCTGTACTTGACTTTCAGAAGGTTGTCCACGCTTTTATCACCACACGTCTTGATTATTATTGTTCAAAACGCTGCAGCTCGTCTATTAACTGGTGAACTCAAACATGAGCACATCTCTTCACCGGCTCCCTGTACGTTTAAGAATTGATTTTAAGATTTTATTACTGACTTATAAATCTTTAAACGGGCTGGCTCCTTCTCATCTCGCTGACCTTTCAAAACCACTTCTTTCATCACGGACATTCAGATCAACAGATCAGATGCTTCTGACTGTCCCAAGGTCGAGGGTAAGGTCACCGAGCCTTTTCAGGAGCGGCGCCAAAGCTCTGGAATGCAATTTTAATGTTTCTATATCTATTTTTATGCTTTACTCTGACTAAGGCTCTGCGTCCACATGTCGGTTTTTTGGGGGGCAAAAGAGCGCTGGATGTGCTGTGTTTTGAGGAAGCGTTGTGCGCTGCACATCCCTCCCGTCTCTACGACAACAGTCTGCTGGTTAAAAAGGGGGCGGTTGACGTGACCAGCGCCTTTCTGAAAAATGTAACGATTTTTAACTTGAGAGCTTGGAGCGGCCCAAACTAAGGCAGACGCTGGTTTCTGACCATTTTCTGTAACCGGCAGCCTGCTGCTGCAAGCGCTCTCTCCTCATTGGGAACAATAGAATATAAAAAACACTAAGGTGGACACAGGCCCTAAGATATCCATGTTTAAATAACATCAGTGTATGCACTGACAGCCGTTTACACACCAGAGTTTACTGAACTGAACTTTGACCTCTCTCTCTGTCTGCAGTTGTGGGACATCGGCGGTCAGCCTCGGTTCAGGAGCATGTGGGAGCGTTACTGTCGAGGAGTCAGCGCTATTGTGTAAGTCCTTTATTCATGAACTGTGGTGATCGCCCCCCTAAACGGGTCGCAGGATCTCTGCTGGGTCAAAACATGAAGGAGGCCTCAGAGGAATTAATGAGCCGAGAGAGAGAGAGAGGAAAGTCACGCTAGTTTGTCCTCCAGTCATCGCTCTGCGTTTAGAGGAGAGGTAGAGAGATATTTAAAGATTCCTGTTTTTAGGAGTTTGTTTGAATCATGCTGTGAAGAAATCTTTACATCTTCAGAGAGAAGTCTAACTCAGTCCTGCTGTGTCGTTTTACCCCAGTTATCCTGGTGAGAGCATGTAGGTCACTTTAATGGAACAGAGAGCAGCGACGTGTAGTTTGCATGTTCAGTTTGAATGTAGTAAAATGATCCATAGGCTCTGCCAGCTTCTCCTCCAGCCCAGATGTCCAGTTCATGCGACAGAGCGTGACGCATGTAGAGGAAGTCTGGGTCAATATTTGAAATGCAGCATGAAAGGAAACAAGATGATTTACTGATAAAAGGTTTAACATTTTAAGCACAGCTCATTTCCTCTCCTTTCCTCTGCAGCTACATGGTGGACGCTGCCGACCCCGAGAAGATCGAAGCCTCCAAGAACGAACTCCACAACCTCCTGGACAAACCGCAGCTGCAGGGAATTCCTGTAAGAACCAGACTGATCCAGAGAGCGACTAACACGACTGAGCTCACTCATCCAAATAATACCAGCTGAACCGCAGTAAACCTGCCAAACACAGAATAATCAGATTTTATAAATCCTATCAACAACTCATGAGGGGCGAGTGAAAACAGAGCAAATGCACCTGAGATAAAACTCACACAAACAAAGTGAACACAGTTAACCCCCTGAGAGTTACATCAGACTTTGACCCTTTCCTGTAAAGTCGGTCACGTGCAAGTCTCTGAGGATCAAACCACAAATCTGATATCGCCTCCTTGCTTCCCCCGAGAACATTTCATGTTCATGTCACCTTTAAACTCTCAGCTGATGTAAAAACACCAGAAGAAGAACAGGTCGTGTTTCAGCGCTCAATAACATTTTAGTTTCTTTTAGTTTGAAGTTACTGTCACAGAGATTATTTGCACTTTTTCAGCCTTCCTTCTATCGTCAGAGTTTGGTTTGAATCATTTCTGTGTCTCTTGGTTGCCGGTCAGCAGCACCGTCATGTGGTGTAGTTAAAACTACAGACTATTTAATACATCCCAAACTATGAGTGCAGAGGAGGCCATACACGAGGCCACAGATGTCGTCTATACATTTTTATTAATTTTTTGCTCTGTAACTTTTAGAACCCCTCTCCCCCCCCCCCCCCACAGCTGTTGTGTTCTGTGATGTGATCAGCTGATGTGTGTTCACCTGGGTGTCTGCAGGTTTTGGTTCTGGGCAACAAGAGGGACCTACCAGGAGCCCTGGATGAGAAGGAGCTCATAGAGAGGATGTAAGTCGACACTACAGATCATTTCTTTCTCTGATTGTTGTTTTTCCTCCTTTTTATTAAAATGTGACGGCTCAATGTTTGAAGTGAACCTCTCTCTGTTCTTCATCAGGAACCTGTCGGCCATCCAGGACAGAGAGATCTGCTGCTACTCCATCTCCTGCAAGGAGAAAGACAACATCGGTATGACACACACACACGCACACACACACTTACACACAGGCACACACACACTTACACACAGGCACACACACACTTACACACAGGCATACACACACTTACACACAGGCACACACACACTTACACACAGGCACACACACACTTACACACAGGCATACACACACACACTTACACACACACACACGCATACACACACACACACACACACACGTTCACTCTTTTCCCTCTGTCTGTGCTGATGATCTCTCTCTCTGTCTCTCTCTCTCTCTCTCTCTCTCTCTCTCTCTCTGTCTCTCTCTGTCTCTCTCTCTGTCTCTCTCTCTGTCTCTCTCTCTGTCTCTGTCTCTCTCTGTCTCTCTCTCTGTCTCTCTCTCTGTCTCTGTCTCTCTCTGTCTCTCTCTGTCTCTCTCTGTCTCTCTCTGTCTCTCTCTCTGTCTCTCTCTGTCTCTCTCTCTCTCTCTCTCTCTCTTCTGTCTCTCTCTCTGTCTCTCTCTCTCTCTCTCTCTCTGTCTCTCTCTCTGTCTCTGTCTCTCTCTGTCTCTCTCTCTGTCTCTCTCTGTCTCTCTCTGTCTCTCTCTCTGTCTCTCTCTCTTCTCTGTCTCTCTCTCTCTCTCTCTCTGTCTCTCTCTCTCGTCTCTCTTCTCTCTCTGTCTCTCGTCTGTCTCTGTCTCTCTCTGTCTCTCTGTCTCTCTGTCTCTCTCTCTCTCTGTCTCTCTCTCTGTCTTCTCTCTCTTCTCTGTCTCTCTCTCTGTCTCTCTCTGTCTCTCTCTGTCTCTCTCTCTCTCTCTCTCTGTCCTCTCTTCTGTCTTCTCTGTCTCTCTCTGTCTCTGTCTCTCTCCTCTGTCTCTCTCTCTCTGTCTCTCTGTCTCTCTCTCTCTGTCTCTCTGTCTCTCTGTCTCTCTCTCTTTCTCTCTGTCTCTCTCTCTCTCTCTCTCTTGTCTCTCTGTCTCTCTCTCTGTCTCTCTCTCTCTGTCTCTC